GCCGCGGGAGCGGGGTTCTCTTGGGTTAGTTGCCGGGGCCGTGGTGGCAGCGGGCGAAGGCTCAGAGGGTCACCCTGTGGCAGCGGGCGAAGGCTCAGAGGGTCACCCTGGCCGCGATGGCTCGCCTCCAGCAGGCCGCGGATCCGGGGCACTGGGGTGCCTGTGGGTTTTCGCCACTTAGAAGGCCCGGGCAGTAGGGTGCCCACAGGGGGCGGGGGTGGTGTAGAGACCCGGGTTGCAGCTGCCTCTGTAGGGGGCGGTACTGGCGAGGGCCGTTCTAAGGCCAGAGGCAGGGGCGAGGGTGCGGCCTCGGGCTCCGGGGGTACCAGAAGGCATGGAGGTGTGGAGCTGCCAGGGAGCCAGCCGCCCAGGCCTCGAGCCAGGCGCATGGCCGAGGAGGAGGGGGTCACCTCCGGCTCCACCAGCGACACCCGGCGGGAGTCGGAGACGCGGTCCAAGGCCTGCTCTTTTCGGGAGCCCCCGCCAGCTGATGGCTCCGACTGTACATTCCCCATTTCGGATGGAGGTCAGGGGCTGTGGTCAGAAAAAGTCCACAAATCAGTCTGCCCAAGGCCTTGGAAGCTAGCTGAACTTGATTCTGCCCTTAAACAATGGCCCCCACACCTGACCTCCAAGACTTACTCAATTTTCAGCTGCTAGCCTGAAATCACGGGGCCCCTTTCCTACTTCTGTGAAGAGTTACAGTCTCAGAAACTCACAGGCTCAGCTCTACTCTGCCCTACGGGGTCGCTGTGTGCTGCATTGAACACGAAGGCGGTGACCTGTGCACCTCTGGTGGCACAGTGGTTATGCACCGGGCTGCTAACTGCAAGGCCAGCAGTTCAATGCCACCAGCCAGTCCGCAGGAGAAAGCAGTGGCTTTCTATAAAGAGCTTTGGATAGGGGCAGTTCTAGACTCACTATGAGTCTAGAACATGAACTTGATGGCAGTGAGTTTTTGTTGGGCGGTGGGGGTGGGGAGACCTGCACTCCTGGCCTGGCCTCTACATCTAAGCCCTATGCTCCAACCCGCGACTCTAAAGAGCCATCTCTGCTCCTTGAATGGTCCCTCATGTTGGCCATGCCCCTAGTCTCCAGGCTTGTAAACTCAGATCTTGTCCACCTTCTGGTCTCAGTCACACCAGCCATGGTGGGTGTGCCCAGTAGCCTACAGGGCTACAAGGAGGTCAGGTTTCTCCAAGTCGCGCCCCCTAGGTCCTCCTCCCCACTCCCAATTTTGAGGGAATACCTCCATCTCCACTCCCCTAAAACTGTACCTCTACCTAACAAATACCAGCTATTCCGGTCATGCTAATCTCTGGGTCTCACCTCTAACCCTCTGATTATTTGGGTCTTGCCCTTTTCTTGGGAGCCGGGGTGTACCGGTTACACATTGGGCTGATAACCGCATGGCCAGCACTGCTAAACCACCAGTGGCTGGTGGGGGGGGGTGTGGGGGGAGAAAGATGAGACTTTCTACTCCTGTAGAGTTGCAGTCTCAGAAACCCACGGAGCAGGGCAGTTCACCTGACCTATTCAGTTTGCTATAAGCCAGAATTGACTCAATAGCTGTGAGGGTTTTTTTTTTGGGGGGGGGTGGCTTTTTCCTAGACGGCAGCAAGCCCTCCAGCCCTCTTACACTTCTGCTCTAAGGTTGACCCGCACTGTCAGCGCTCTGGCTCCACGCCTTTCTCCAAGCCCCGCCTCGGCTCCGCCTCCGCTCCGAGGTCCCCGCTCACCGACTCCTCCAGCGGAACCAAGTTCAGACTGGGTCCCCCGGGGCCCAGGGCAGGGCGGGGAACGGCCGTAGCAGGAAATAACCGTAAAGAACGCGGTGCGGGTGAAGACCAGACAGCGGAGGCGGATTCCGAGATCTAGGCCCCGCCCCTGGGCTCGAGACCCCGCCCTCCCCTTACGAACCTGCTTCACCCTTGGAAATACTCGGCGGTTTTCTTTCCCATCCCGCATCCGTTCGTCTGCAGCCCACCGCTTTAGAACGTTGGTCGTAGCCCCGCCCCTTTAGGGTGCCCCTCCCCTCCCAGTGTGTCCTTTTTCCAGAACCCCGCCCACGACAAACAGCTCCGAAGCTCCTCCCTTTTGGACCCCTCGTTTACCCTGCTCCAGAACCACTTACTTCTGAGCTCCGCCCCTTTAGGACGCGGCACCCCCTCCTCCAAAGACCCTATCCTTTCTCGGGCCCGCCCAGAAAGCCCCTCCACCGCTGACCCGCCCCTTCCATGACGCTCACTCAGATCCTTGCACTCAGAGACCCCGCCCCTTTGCGAAGGCTCCCGTCTCGCCCCGCCCCTTCTCGAACCCTGGCGGACGCCCCAGCCCCACCCATTTAGAACCTGAGGCATAAGCCCCCACCTGTTTAGAGCCCTGAGTCCCAGACCTGCCTGGGACCCCTTCTCATATCCTCTAGTACCAATGGCGCGTGCAGGGGAGGAGGTGGGGGATTCCTTCTGGGCCTTGGGAACATGGGGGCTGGGGGCTGTTGGCGAGGTCTGGAGCCGGGCTCTAGGACCCAGCGGGCAAATCCTCCCTCTTCGCGTTTACCCCTCCCCTTAGGCCGCCCCCTCCTCCCTCCACCCGCTTTCCAGGTCCCCCCTCCCTGCCCCTCGACCCGGCTCCTGGTGCCCGTCTCCAGCGCGGCTGGAGCCAGCCGGGAAGCCGGAGCGCAGCGGAGGAGAATGAGGCCGCGTCGCCGCCGCTCGGAGCCCGGCTGGAGCCTCCCAGGCAGGTGCCGAGGGGGGCGAGTGGGCGGGGGCGGACGGACCGCCTGCCCCGGTGAGGAGGCGGCGGGGACCGCGCTGCGCCACCTGTCCACCGGGCGACCCTTGGACCCTAACTAGGAGGACTAGGGAGGGGAGGCCCCCAAACTGCGCGGCAGCCATTTGGGAGGGCAACCTCCTTTTGGGGGCCTAGACTTCCACCACGGACGCCCCATTCATAAAATTCCATCCTGGACCCCCCACCATAGAGGAGCTCTAGGGGCCCCTCTCCCGGAGTGTCACTGATGTGCGGGGAACTCAGGGCACCCAGACATCCTGATGCCCCTGGGCTAGGCCTGGGGAGACCCTTGTCCTCTTTGCCGGCTTCACCTGTTGTCCGGGGGAGGCGGGCGGACAAAGGAAGCCGCGTCACGTGACTGCTCATTCACAAAATCCCATCCCATTGAGAAAAGGGGGCTGGGGGCGCTGCGGCTGCCCCTTCCCCTCCCGGAGACCGTAGAAACCCGGTAGCCTGTAGGTGGGGGAGGGGGCTAGAGCTGGTGGCCGGAGTCCCTAAGGTTGGGATGCCAAGGTCCCTATGCTGAGTGGCAGTGAGGGACTGGACGCTCGTCCTGCTAACTGGGTGGAGGACTAGGTCCCTAGAGCTGGTGAGGGGTGTGGGGGACGGACGGGAGAAGGGGTAAAATGGTTCTGAAGGATGCTGGGGTAGGCGCTGATCAGTCCGCCCTCCTCCTACGCGATCCCCTTTGCTTTCCCTCTGCTGGGGCCTTGAGGCTTGTTTTTTGTGAATGAAATGTTCTCTGGAGATGCCTCCTTCGGCCGCTCTGCCTCCATCTCCTCGGTCTCGCTCTGGCCATTTCTGGTTTTCTCCCAACCCATCTTCCCATTGCTGGCTGACTCCGTGAGCTTTCCATCCGGTCTCATTCATAAATCCGGGAAGGAGAGGGAGGGTGGGAAGCTGGCTTTCTTACCCAGCCAGTGCCCTGAGCGACGTGTGCGAAGGCAGTGTAGGGGTTGGTGGGTCCTCGGAAAATACATATGCGCAGGCACCCCAGTTTTTTAGGGGAGGTGATGGGTGGGGCCGTATTGCGGGAGGAGAGGGAGAGCAGTGGGAGGAGGGGAGGTGGAAATCCAAGGCCATGGGGGTGGGGGTGGGGGACAAGGTAGGCAAGAAATGAACCAGGCAAGAAAGCAGCTGTTGTGGAAGGAATGAGGTGGGCGTGGGTTGGGGGAGGTGGGCCAGACGAAAAGGGTGGGGGGGAGCTGAAGGCAGAGTGGAGGTAATGGCGATGGGGGAAGGGGTTTTTCCATGGATCTCCGTGGGAGAGATGAAGATGAGAGGCTGCCGAGGGTTGGAGTGAGGCAGAATCTATCCGGGAGCAGGCTTGGGCTCACTGACGTTGTTGTCTCTGCCCCCTCCCCCCCACCTCCAGGTACATGGTGCAGGTCCGAGCAGTGGTGATGACCCGAGATGACTCCAGTGGTGGCTGGCTGCCTGTGGGGGGCGGGGGCCTCAGCCAGGTGAGCCTGTGTCAGGTCCGAGGGGCCAGGCCCGATGGGGGGGCCCGCCAAGGGCACTACGTCATCCACGGGGAGCGCCTCCGGGACCAGAAAGTGAGCCACTCTGGGGTCTGGGGGATGGAGAGGGCGTGGGGACTGGCCGGGCAGGCACGGGGCTGGGGCTGAGATGGGGGAGGGCTGCTAAGGAGAGGGGTGGTGTATCTTCCAGCCTGGGAATCCAACGGATTATGGGATGGGGTTTGGACGAGAATATCTGCCCACTGGAGATGAGAGCTGGGAGCTTCGGGGATTATTGGGGGCACTAAGTAGGCCCTGTCCACCACCCTCTCCTGCTGGGCTGTCACTGGTCCACCTGCTCCTGTGTGTGCACACTGGCTTGCTCCTACCTGTCCTAGTCTCTTCCCACTCAAAGTCCTTGGGCACCTCCTCTGTTCACATGTCCTCTAAAGCTTTCTCTGATTTAGAGACCCTTGCCATGGGCCACAAAGGCCTATACCACCCGGCCCCTCCTGGCCTAAACTCAGCAAGGCCTTGGATTGGGGGTGGAATTTGGAAATGTCAGATTGGGTTTGCCATCCTCTGTGTGGGTTCAGCCGGAAATTCTGGGTGAAGTGGCCTGCCGGGGAGGGGCAGTATTACCCAGCCAGCTGGGGATGGAGTAGAAAGATTGGGATTGCCTGCAGAGGCATGGGGGAGGGGGTGCATTTCAGAGCCAGGGCCAAGAGGAGCCGGAGGGGGTGGGTTTGTAATGGTGGGAGGGAATTGGATGTGGCAGGTGAGGCTATGAGGCGCCCTGGGTGTGGATCGGCATCCTATGAATGGAACAGTATATTTGAGTAAGGTTTGCCGGAGATGCATGGTTCAGGAAGGGGTTCACTGTGGTATTTCAAGGTGTACAATGACTTTGGGGAACACAACTGAGAAATGTGGGGACAGTGGGTAATTGGAAGGCAATTAGCAATACATTTCGAGGCATTCAGTGAGATTTGAGGGTTCTCATAGGAGTGTCAGGAAGATGCAGGAGCTTGGGGAAAATATTAGAGGATCAGAGGTGTGTTTGAGAAAATTGAGGAGTGGTCTTGGGGTTCAGGGAGATGGAACTGGGGTGCACAGGCTGCAGGGGTTGAGGAGAAGGCATGGGTATGCCTGGCTGAGTGGAGGTGACCTATCCCCTCTTGTCCCTTCCTGCCCCCTCAGACCACTTTAGAGTGTACCCTGAAGCCAGGTTTGGTTTACAACAAGGTGAACCCCATCTTCCACCACTGGAGCCTGGGTGACTGCAAGTTTGGACTGACATTCCAGAGCCCCGCAGAGGCTGACGAGTTTCAGAAGGCTCTGCTGGCTGCTCTGGCTGCCCTGGGCCCAGGTGGGTGGTGCAGGTGGTGGGTGCTGGAGTTGGGGCAGGAGGAGCAGAGGCCCAGTGATTTCATCTCTGACCTTTCTTCCTGCCCCCCAGGCTCGCTCACACCCTCCTCTTCCTCCTCCTCCTCCTCCTCCCATTCCCAGGACACAGCTGAGACTCCCTGCCCTCTGACGGTGAGTGAGCCCCCAGACTGAGCTGGGAGGGCAGGGGCCCCAGGCAACATCTGGTGGATCCAAATGACAATGAAGAGCATCACTTTCATCTCAGCCATTCCAGTTTCTCTCCTCATGCAATTGGCACAATCTTTCAGCTCTGTCTGCCTGGCAGGGTTTTATCTACTAGGGCTACATCAGTAAACAAAAAACCAAGTCCCTTTTCTCAGGTGGAACGCTGGTGGCACAGTGGTTACACATTGAACTGCTAAGCACAAGGTCGGTCATTTGAAACCACCAGCCTCTCCTCAAAGAAAGATGGAGCTTTCTACTCCCGTAAAGAGTTAGTCTCAGAAACCCACTGGGGCAGTTCTACCCTGTCCGGAAAGGTTGCCGTGAGTCAGAATAGATTTGCTGGCAGTAAGGTTTTTGTTGTTGTTGCTCTTGTTTGTTTCATCTCCCCTGTCAGAAAAGACTGACCCCACTTTGTAAAGGATCAGAACTTGCCTCTCCCATCTTCTTGCACCAGGCCCTTTCTAACAGCTTCCACCACCTGCCCATTCTTCTCCCCACCACCCCACCCTGCCCACCTCCAGTCTGTCCCCCAGTGGCAGCCAGGGGGACCTTACTGTGACCTCAGTCAGATCACAGCCTGCCCTGGTTCAGAACTCTCCCGGGACAGACTCCATCGCTCAGGGTCAAGGACAAAAGTCCTCACTGGGGCACAAGATTCCACACCACCTGGCCCCCTGTTCCTCGCCCGGCTCATTCACTCTGCCCTACCCTCCTGGCCCCCTGGCGCACTGTGCCTCCAATAGGGAAGCAGGAACCTGGCCCAGGGACCTTGCACTGGCTGGTCCCTCTGCTACTGAACACTCTTCCCCTAAATGGCCCTGTGGCTCCTTCCCTTCCTTTCCCATAAGGCTTTATGCAAACATCACCTCCTTGAGGCCCTCCTGGGGGCAGCCTAAAAAACACTTGGGAGCCCCAGTACCCCTCATCCTATTCTAGTTGTCCATCTTCCAGGACTAGTTTCCTAATTTGCTTTCAAGAGAGATCTTTTTTTTTTTCTTTTTAAAAAATATCATTTTATTGGGGACTCGTACAACTATTCTCACAATCCATCCATCGTGTCAAGCACATTTGTACATTTTTTGCCCTCATCATTCTCAAAACACTTTGTTTCTACCTGAGCCCTTGGTATCAGCTCCTCACTTTCCTCCTCCCTCCCCCACCCTTGATAACTTGTAAATTATTACTATTTTTTCATGACCAATGACTCCCTTCACTCACTTTTCAGTTGTCCATTCCCCTGCGAGGGGGTTGTAGGTAGATCACTGCGATCAGATCCCCCTTTCTCCCGCCTCCTTCCCCTTCCCCTTCTGGTGTGGCCACTCTCGATACTGGTCCTGAGGGCTTTATCTGTAGTGGATTCCATCTTTTTCTTACCGGTTAGCTCTCTGCCCAGCTCCCATGCGAGGCTGGCCACTCAAGCAGGCAGGAGTCTTTGACTAATTGCTTCTGGCTGCATCCTGTGCACTCGAAGCAGTGCCTGGCATGCACTCAATGGTCACTACAGTGTGTTGAATGTGCACAAATGAAGGTAATGGGGGCTGTGGGGGGGGGTGCTCAATTTGGCACTTAGGAGGTACAGGGAAGCCCTGGTGGCCTAGGGATTATTCATTGTACTGCTAACCACAAAGACAGCAGTTCGAAAACACCAGCCACTCTATGGGAGAAAGACAAGCCCTGCTACTCTTGTAAAGGGTGCCAGCTTCAGAAACCCACAGAGGCCGTTCTACCCTGTCCGAGAGGGTTGGTCGCTATGAGTTGGCATCAACTTGATGGCAGTGTGTCTGGTTTGGGTTGTTTGGGGGGACAGTAGAAATTGGGAGAGGAGCAAGGCTGGGACCCTGGGCAGCCCCAGGGGCTCCCATAGCCCGGATGGAGGTGGGACCACAGTGGTGCTGTGTCTCCCAGACCCCCTCTCCCATCCTCATGTTTGCCTCCCTGAGCTGGGCACACATGACCTGGGCATTGAGTGTGTGCTTTTTGTAAATGGTAAGCTGAGGAGCTTGAAATCAGCCCCAAGGTACAGACAGGACACCAAGAGGCCCAGCAGTGACCTATCAGCTGGTGAGGGGCCAAGCCTGGGTTGGATGGGGATCCTGGTTAGAAGGGCCTTCCAGGTGGTCAGAAGCACCCGGAGAAAGACTTGCCGTTAGGCAGAAGGCTGACTCCCAAGGGAGAGGGCCCCCCCCAAGAAGGGAAAAGTGTGGGGTGAAGTCCCGCAGGTCAGTGAGCTGAGCAGCTAAGAACACACCACATCCCTAACCCATTGCCCTTGAGTGGAATTGCAACTCAATGGGAGCCTAGAGGACAGAGTGTGACTGCCTTCACGGAAGCCAGCGGCCTCATCTTTCTCCCACAGAGAGGCTGGTGGGTTTGAACCATTGAACTTTGGTTTCTCATGGCAATGCTTAACCTACTGCACCACCAGGGATCCTTGCAGGTAAGAATATGCAGTGCCATGGAGCCTAAAAGGCAGGGGAGAACTGCCCCTGTGGGTAACATTTTTAAGGGAGTAGAAAGCCCCTTCTTTCTGCCTCAGAGCTGGCTGGTGGTTTCAAACTGTTGACCTTGCTGTTGGTAGCTTGATGCATCCACCAGCGCTCTTCCAGATAAGAATATGGGGGTCTAATATAAAGAGAGTGATCATTCCTAGCTCGCTCTGTGCCCAGGGCAGGGCCTCAGCCCTTTACAGGGGTAGACTCAGGAATGCTGCCCACACCGAGGGGGAGGAAATGGTGTATACACCGGTCAGTGCCTTAGGGAGACCTCCCACTGCTAAAGCCCTCTGCTCTTGGCCTGAGTGGGGGTTTTCTATGTGAGGGGGTTGCTGAGACTGGAGGTCCCCCAGCCAAGGCCTGCAATCTTTTCCAGTCTCATGTGGACAGCGACTCCTCCAGTCACAGCCGGCAGGAGACGTCTTCTGCTGGGGGGTCGGCCCCCATCATCACCGGGGAGACCTCTTCGGGCTTCAGGCCGGCCACGCCCCCTCAGCGCCGCTCCTCTGCCCAGGTGCGACTTTGGGGGCTGAAGAAAGGAAGCAGGCGGCACCTGCGGGAGTGGGGCAAGACCCTGGGGCCCTTCATGGGCAAGAGCCAGGACAAACACCCGAACACGCTACGGGTGTGACGAGGCTGGTGGGGGGTTTAGAGAGAGACCCGAGTTCCTGGGTGGTGGCTTCCCCAGCCTCCTGCACTTTGGGTGTGACCCCCCCCTCCCCGGGGAGTGAGGGAGTGGAGCAGGCTGTGGGTGGGGGCGGGGGCCACTCCGGGACCCCAGAATGAGGAGCTGGCGGGGATCTTCAAAGCCTGAGTCTGGGACCCTGGAGCCTCTGGGGAGACAGAGTTAGCGAACCTGTGATCCTGTGTTTGCATTGGGTCTCCTGGGACGGATTGAGGTGGGAGTGCGGGACGTGCGGAGTTGCAGACCCTGCGTGTCGATCTGTCTTACAGAGCTCCCCTCCACTGCTGCGCCTCACGGGGGCCCCGGAGCCCGCTGAGCCGCTGGTGGGGCCCGGGGGTCCTGGCTGGGGTGGCCGAGGCTATGAGGATTACCGGCGCGCCGGGCCGCCCCCACCCCTCGCCCTGTCCACCTGCGTGGTGCGCTTCGCCAAGACCGGGGCCTTGAGGGGTGCCGCACTGGGGCCCCCCGCGGCCCTCCCTGCAGCTCTGCCTGAGGCGGTACCTCCGGCGCCCCCAGCACGCCCACCCCCAGGCCTGAGCCCCGCCGGGGCGCCCACCAAGGCCTCCCCGGAGGCGGAGGAGGTGGCGCGCTGCCTGCACTGCCGGGCGCCCTTTCGCCCCCGCGCCGACGGCCGTGGTGGCCGCTGCGCAGAGGCCCCCGACCCGGGTCGCCTCCTGGTGCGCCGCCTCAGCTGCCTCTGGTGCGCCGAGAGCTTGCTCTACCACTGCCTGTCGGACGCCGAGGGCGACTTCTCGGACCCGTGCGCCTGCGAGCCGGGCCACCCGCGCCCCGTGGGCCGCGCTGGCAGCCTTGTCGCTCGCTGTGCCCTGCCTCTGCTGCTACGCGCCGCTGCGCGCCTGCCACTGGGTCGCCGCGCGCTACGGCTGTGCGGGCTGCGGGGGTCGCCACGAGGAGGCTGCGCGGTGAGGACGGCGTGGTGGGTCCCCCGTTGCCCGACGGAGGACCCAAAATGGAGGGTCCTGGACAGTGGACTCCATTAGACCCCCAAACCCAAACCCAGGCACGCCCAGAATTTGGAGTTTGGGTTTGGTTTGTGAAGTCCCAGACCTGGGACCTGGATCCCCAGTCTAGGAAGTGAGAGACGTTTCCCCCAGCCCCCGACCCAGGATTTTTGGGATGTCTGCCCAAGAGGCCACTGGGATACTGAGTTCTGGTGCCCCCACTTATGGCCAGGACTGGGGGTCCAGGTGTTGTGCCCCCCCCCAAAAAAAATAAGTGTTGTTCCTCCTAACCTCTATGCCCTTGGTTCTAGTCCCATTAGGGAGTGGGTCATCTTTGTTATGTTAATGGACAGAATTAGTGTAGGGTGTGTTCTAAAGCAGTCTCTTCTGAGCTATAAAAGAGTCACCAAAGGAGGATGGGGAAGAGAGAAGCCAGGCCACTGGAAGATTTCCCGGGAGAGCAACTCCAGAGTGACCAGGATCATCGGCCTTCCAGGCCAGCACCCTGACCTGGACTTCTAGCCTCCTCAACAGTGAGAAAATAAATCTGTTACAGTCCCCCCTTCGTGGCACTTCTGTTGTAGTTGCATTAGGTAAGGAGAAGACGCCAGGCATTCCCAGGTGTTCCGTCTCCCACCAAATCCAAACCAAACACACACGCTCACTGCCATCCGATCGATGCCAGCTCATAACGACTCTGTAGGACAGGGTAGAACTGCCCCTGTGAGTTTCCAAGACTGCACACAGATCTCCCCCCAAGCCCAGGCCCGAGACCAAATGACCAGGGCAGATCTAGTTCCACCTGGCACCGTGATCTCTCAGAGGACAGGGTTCCAGGATCAGATAGAATTGCCAAGAGCAGGCCTTGCCTGGATCCTATTACCCTCCGATCTTGAAATGGCAGGACATCCCAGAATGGTCTCTGAGTGGTGACCTAGACCCAGGGGGGATGCATATGTGAGAGGTCCCAGATAACTCCAGCACCCCAGGCCCTAATCCTGCAGGCCCTGAGACATCACGGTGTTGTATATTAACCACTTTCTTTCCCCAAGATGCCCTAAATCTAATGCCTAAGCAACCTCAGGCTCTCCAGGAATCCAGGCTTTTAAGACGTCCCGAGTCCTTGAGTCTATTCAAACATGAGATGCTGTGGGACTAAAATGCATTGGGAGATCCACTTTGAAACCCTGCAAGACCCAGATGTCAGCTGCAAAGTTCGGGACCCAGGAAAGACCTCCCACCGGAAGCCCACCTACCCAAATTAGTACCTCCAGGAGCTTTGAGTCTTGGATTTAAGACCCTGAGGTTCCTGATGCCACCCAAGTTAGTTCTGAGGTCATTGACACCTCAGGACCCAAGACACTGGTCTCTGGGCCTTGAATAACCTACCTTCCTTGCTGCCCTTGGGCCTATGTTCCAAGAACCAGCATGTCCTAGGATCCGTAACACTTTGAACTCATAGATTTCCAGTCTCCTGGTGGCTGGGAGCCTAGCCCACAGAAGATGGGGTGGCCATGCCCCTTGGCTCTCGGTTCTTGGTAGTTTGGCAGCACTGGATTGATCTAAGAACGCAAGGTACGTTGGCTTCTGAGAGGCAGAATCTTAAGGCACTGTGGTGTTGGATGGAATCTGCCACAAGATCTTGCCCCCCAGCTCAGGCACAGTCAGGTCTGAGGTACCTTGGGAGCCCAATCCCAGGACCCTCAGACCCCAGGTTTCTTTGAGTTCAAGCCACTGCAGCACGATGAAGGCCCAGGGACGCCCCACTGCCTAGCTCCCCAGGGCCAACATGTACACTCTCTGAGATCTGTCCTTTGCTCTGGCCCTTCGGGCTACTCCTGAGATTCATGGGTCCCAGTTCTGGGACTGAGAACCCCATCCTTCAGAATGACCCTTTACCTCTGGGTGGGGGGAAAGTTCCCCTTTGAATCCACATGTCACCAGATGCTAGCAGTGGAAGCTCCCCACTCGTCTCTAGGACCCAGCGTTGATGAATATGATGGGGGCAGGTGCTTCCTAAGCAGAGGCAGATAGCTGAGATGGTGAGCAGGGCTGGAATCCACCCAGCCCACACTCTGCTAGCCAAACTGCCTACAGGGGAAGAGCTGCCTGATTCTGGCTTGCACAGAGCCTCCTCTGCAGCTAGCCACAGCTCTGCCTGGACCTCTCCTACCTACCCTCCCCCCACCCCACCCCTAGCTTTGCAGACCCTCATCCAAGCTCCCTAGAGCCTGAGTCCAAGCCCTGCTTTTTATGTTAACCCTTGGCGTCCAGGCCTTGATGTGGGGATATACTCAGTGCTGCGTGACCTTGGGCCCTTCTCGGGGTAGAAACATCTTTACCCAGACCCGGATGACATGGGGTGGGAACGGGCCATGAGAGCCGAGGGACAGGTCCTCTGTCACTGCCTTTGAATTTGTGACTTTGTATTCCATCTGGAACCTATCAGGTTCAGCTGTCACCTCCTGACTCTGGGAGAGGAGAAAATAAGGGGTGACCCTCACACCCCACTTCTGCCCAACTCACCTACTGTCAGCCTGGGTCCCCATCCCCCTCTCTGTGCCTGGGTAGCAGGGGTTTCCACCCTAATCTGCCTCCCTTAGGGAGGGGCGGGGTGGGGCTCAGGGTGCTGGATTGGGCTGTTGGAGCTGCTTAGGAAGCAGTGGGGATGGAGGGGGAGCTCCCCCCCATCTCCCGGCCCTGCCTCTCTCAGGTCTCTGAGTCCTGCTTCTGGTTCATGCCCACCTTCCCTCCATGATGACCCTTCATCATCCCCCAATCAGGGCCACGTGAGGGCCTCAGACCCTGGAGCCCCCAAGCCAAATCTCCTAGCTGCTTGCTCCTCGGGTGAATGCTCAACCTCCAGGCTTGTGGGGAGAAGGCACCCCAACATTTACCCTCCTGAGCTTGACCTTAGTGTTCATCAGTGCAGGCTGACGTGGTGGTAGGGAAACGGGGGTGCACACCGAAGCTTTGTCATGGGGAGGCCGGTGGGGGTGGGGGGTGGGCACGTGACAGCAGATCCAAGAAATGTCCGAGGAAGTCCCAGCCGGTGCTGGTTAGCTGCATAGTGGGGACATACCCGTTCTGTTCCTCCTTCCGCCACACCCTCTACCTCCTCTCCTCCCCACACCCCAGAGGCCCTCTAGCAGAAGTCCATGGGTTCAGCCCCTCAGCGTCTGCGAGGGAGCTTCACAGAGTTCATGGAAAGATGATGGCACTCCCAAGGACCTTATTGGCGCAGTGGGTTACACCTCGTCAATCGCAAGGTCAACTGTTTGAAACCACCAGCTGCTCCGAAAGGGAAAGGTGAGGCCGTCTGCTCCTATCAAAGTCTCGGGAATCCGCAGGGACAGTTCTCCCGGTCCTATCAGCTCCGCTGGGAGTCGGAGTTGACCTGATGCCAGTGTGTCCGAGTTTTGATGTGCTGCCAGGCAGACCCTGATTAAGGTGCGTGGGATAAAATGCAGTTCGCAGAATAGCCACAAGGAGGAGCTACAGGAACTCTATATGAAAACCTTTGGAAATAAACTCAATTTTCCCGAATCCACGACAACTAACAGTGCTATGGACAGAGTAGACCTGCTCACGCCCCCACGCCCCCGCCCCCCGGCCCCCGTGGGTTTCAGAAGTGGTAAATGTGTGTGGTAACAGAAAACCTCATCTTTCTCCCGTGGAGCACCTAGTGGGTTCAAACTGCTGACCTTGTGGTTAAACAACCCGATGTCTGACCCGCGATGCCTTCAGGGTTCCACAGGAACTCTATAAGGGGGCTTCAAAAAAATTCTTGGAAAAATAGAACGAAAACATTGTGTAGTTTTCCCACAAACTTTTTGAGGCCGCCTTGTATAGTGAGGGAATCAATCAATCAATCAATTATATTCAAAAACAGCCCACAACCAAGTTCACAGCCATGGGGTCAATCCTGACCCATTGTGGATGACTCGTTTTGGAAAGAGTCCAGTGGGCCCGGGGGAGTTTCTGAGACCCTAACTCTTTAAAGGAGTAGAAAGGCTTGTCTGTCCTGTGAGTGGCCGGTGATTTCCAACTGCCGGCTGTCAGAGGAAACCAGCCCCCAACCACCGAAGGGCCAGAAGGCGCAAGTGTAGACGATGCGATATCAAGAAGATAGTAAACTCACAGAGCATAAGAAAGAGGAGAGAGTCCAGAAAGGAGACAGATGCATGTTATGGTAGCGTGCTCACCTCAGCTCCTCTTACTGGACCATGTGGAACTGGGAGAAGGGAGAGAGAGCCTTCAGTATCTTAGGACATTTACTGGTGGCCATAAGACAGGCATATCCAGTAGTTACATGCATCACAAGGGGGGTGGTATCTACAGTAAGGTCCCTGAGCTCACAGGTGAGGAAACCTGCATTGGGGGAAGGTACAAGGGGGGTTGGGGGTCACGGCGGGAAGAGAGAGCAAAAGGATCATGTCTGCTTCCATAGGAAAACAGAATCATCCGTGTGCCCACTTTAGGGCAGCAGAGCTTTAGGGGAGACTCTGTGGGAATGAGTTTTAAAGCAGGATCATGGACTTGGACTTGAACTTGCCAGAGCGGAGGCTTTCCTACCGTGGAATCCCAGCTTTCCAGAGTCCCTCGGTGAGAAGTTAGGGAGCACCGTCTTGTCACGTTTCACTCAGTGTTAGTTTCCCACAGCTGACCTTGCAGTGAGCAGCCCAACCCACTGGTCACCCCCTGTGCCACATGGGTGCCAAGTACATCAAGTGGTGTGTTGGAAATGTCGAACCCTCTAAGGTGGGGGGTGGGGCAATGGGGATGAGTGACAGGCAATTTTAGCTAGGTGGTCAGGGTAGGCCTCACATTGTCATAAAGCCCCCGAAGAGTTAAAGGGAGTCATGTCTGGGGGGAGAGCATTGCAGACAAAGGGGACGGCCAGTGTGCCAGCATGCCAGCGTGCCGCCAGGGGGAGCAGTGTCTCTGAGGGACTCCGGTACAGGAGATAAGGGGCACTGGGGGCCTGGGAAACCACTGTCTGAACCTTTTCACCCTGAGTGCCATGGAGACCTGACGCAGGTGTTCACAGCCTCCCTTTGGCTTTGTGGGGGCAGACTGCGAGGCAGGCTTGGTGAGCAGGGAGCTAGTGAGAGCACACCTGTGCTGTGGCAGATACAGGTGGGAGGAGCCTAGGGGAGCATCTTGGAGGTAGACAAATGAGAAAGAGCAAATGATGGAGAGGTGAGGTTCAGTATGAAAAGGTTGAGTGACAGGACTAGAAGGTTTGGCATAAGTAATTTAAAACATTAAATAAAAAAAGCCATTCCATTGGGGGCTCTTACAGCTTAGAGCTCTGATAACAATCCATGCATCAATTGTATCAAGCCCATTTGTACATAGGTTGCCATCATTTTCTTTCTACTTGAGCCCTTGGTATCAGCTCTTTTTTCCCTCTCTCCCACCCCCGTGAACCCTTGATAAATTATAAATGATTATTTTCATATCTTACACCATCCGCTGTCTCCCTTCATCCACGTTTCTGTTGTTTCTCCCCCTTGGGTGTGTGTGTGTGTGTGTGTGTGTGTGTGTGTGTGTGTGTT